TCTTAACCAAAGCTAAGCTTCATCATTATATTTATTCAAAAGCACTTTATTTTACAGGCATCGTTTAAAAACTTGACAAAAATATGTTGTTTACACGAACCAGATTCTGTTAAAAAAATGAAAAAAATAAAAATTCTGTGCCCCTTGAGTTATTACTACTGCGACCAACAACCACATGACAAAAATTCAGGGACTTTCCAGCTGAAGTGCAGGCAGTGTTTACACAGAGAAGAGAGGAGACAAGAGTGGAAACACATTAAATATGTAGGCAGTAAAATAACTATAGTGTGCGGACCCACCGTTGTTTCCAGCATTGTACAACTACAGTAACATGTGTGGGCACTTAGAGAATCCTGTTCCAGGTTTTTTTTCTTTGGTAAAACAAATAATCAAAGCATAGTAACTTTTGTCTGTTTATTGATTTACAGCATTATAGCTGTGTAATGAACAGAAAACATGTAACCACGGCTCAACAGAGGTTCAGGTTTTTATGTTACAGTGAAAAATCCACTCACAGTGACAGGAGCAAAAAAAAAAAACTGCCGAGACCTGCTTGGGTTCAGAAGGTTAAATTCATATCTCCTGCACATGATAACACACAGTCAATTATTTGTTCTTCATAGTTAAAACCAGCTGATTTTTCTGTCCTGGGATGGGAGCCATGTGCAGCGCTAATCCTGCTCTCTGTGTATGTAAGATTATTAGCAGGAGGAAGACTTTGGCTGAGATGAGAGCAGAATATGACCAGGACTTGACCCTTGAACGCAACGCTGACCTTCATCACCATCATCAGCCTGCCTGTGATCAGACCTCCAGCTCCCTGAAACACCAACCGAGCCTCTGGGTAAAAACACAACCAAAGCTTTCCACTACAATAAACACACAGCTGCAGAGAAGTGGTGGAAGTAGCTCTGTACTGTAACCTCCAGTAAAGGATTTCTATTTGTTGTCAAAGATGAGAGCAGTTGTTCACAACTTTTTGGGTTAAACCCTCTTCAGATGTCTGCCAGCTTTCTGCAGTTTCTACCCAAGAAAAGACTTTCCATTTAAATGTCTTCATGGTTTCATTCCAATTGCTAGTAGAAACTCAAACAGCTGAAATTATGTGCAAAAAAAATGTTTGTAGCGCAGTTTCTTTTCTCTCATGACCCTTGAAATTGATCTTATAACCTTTCAGAGAAGCTATGCTTTCAGATTCAATACTGTAAATAAAAACACCTTACACACTGATGCATAATGACCAAATAAAGTTATGAATAAGCTGTAATATCAGTCTTAGTACTTTCACTTAAAGAGGAAATGTAGGACTTTTGTTCCCAACGCTGAGACCAGAGGATGACATGTTGTTTCTGTCTGCACATGCTGACCTCTGCTGGCTAAACTGCTGTAAATGCCTTTCTGATTTTTTTATTTTTATTTTTTTAATTTCTGGCTTTCGGTGTGTGAGAGAGAGGATTACATCAAAACAGATAAAATGTGATTTCTAAGTTATTTTCACCTCTTTCCTCAGAGGTCCCACTCTGCTTTCTCACTGCTGGACAATGACCCTCCTGGTCTGATACAAGACTCCTCACAGGCGCTGAAGAAGGACGGCGGAGGGTCGACGATGACCACTTGGAAGAGTGTAGACCGGCTGGACAACGCTGGTAAGGTCTGATTGTTTCAGTGTGTAAAACCCACCGGTAGGCCAGTCACTGACTACTTATGATGCTGAAACTCAGTGATGCTGATTCCGACGTTTTCAAACACACCAAACACAGCAGACTGGAGATGTGCACAATGCATGTGTATGTATTTATCGCTATCTGCCTTGAGTGTGGCAACAGCCTCTTCCTTCATCTTGTGTATGTTTTAAGAATATTTTTGTGAACCTTGCCATAAATCCTAAAAATGAAAGTTGCATTATTTTTTCTTACAAAAAACTGTTGAAAACCGGAAACAAAGTTAAAAAAAATATTCCAAATACTCACAGGTGTTACAAATACTGCTAAATGACTAATGGTGGGGGAGCACTGAATCTGATTTATGATGCTACTTGCTAAATAAAGTGATTTTTGATGACGTATTATGATTTTAGTTTTCTGACAGAATGGCATGGCACACGAGTAGTTCAAGGACTGCTGGAAAGTTGAAAACCCAATTGTTTTTACTGTTGGTGATAAATGGTATAGCTGTGGCAACTTTTAAAGATAACATGCCTTTTGTTTTGTTTTCACATTTAGATGGTTGAAGTTTTCAGTATTAAAATATAAAATGTAAATCAATGATGTTATTATAGATTAAGCTACACGTTAATGAATCAACAACAGTAATCCAGTGATAGAATATGTGATTCTGGAACTGATCCTTCTGCACAGTCAACACTTTACTTTAGTGTCTTTAAATACATTTGATTGCTACTACTTTTGTTCATATTTATTTAAGCAGGATTTTGAATGCAGGACTTTTACTAACTGAGCATTTTTACGCCGTAGAATTGCTACTTTTACTTCAGTAAAGCTTCTAAATATTTGTTCCACCACTGCAGCTAATACCTGCCTCCTGTTGTTTTTGTTTGTGTATGTCTCTGCGTGTGTGATTCTTTTTTTTCTTTTGGCACATGGTCTCTGCTTGTCTGCATGATACCTGTGCGTGTGTGTGTGTGTGTCCGTACATGCGGAGGTGTGTCCTCAGTGCTGAAGAGCGTAGATGGGAACTGGATCGCCCTGCAGAGCGCCCAGCTGTCTCGTCCCAGCCTGCTCACCAAAAGGAAAAGTCAGGTGTACAGTGCCTTGGAGCGGGAGTCTGGAGTGGTGTCTGCCTACGAAGGTCTGGGCTCTGACAACGAAACCAAACCAGAGCCTGACAGCTCCTGGGGTGCCGTCCTCCAGGAGATCCACAGAAAGATGACAGACTCCAACTTCAACCCGCACGACACCGGCGACAGAATCCCGTCGTCGCTGACTGGCCGCCGAGGCAGCAGGAACGACGTGCTTTCAGACAGCGAGGGGAACTGGAAGCCTAATAAACCTCTGTTGGCTCTTTTAAAGCGGAAGGTGCCTGCAGAGATCAGGAGACCTTCATCATCCCGGAGGACCAGCATCATTGATGTCAACTTTAATGTGGAAGTAGCAGGAGGAGCAGAGGAGGAGGAGGAGGAGGAGGAGGAGGAGGAGATGAAGGTGGCTGCAGAGCCAGAGGTTGGAAAAGTCAGAAGGAAGAAGAGGAGGAGCAGAAAAGAGCCAGCAGCTGCTTCCTGTGTATCGGTAAGAAATAAATGACATTAAACTAGGAGCTGATGACAGGTGATATCAGACTGTCAAGTTGAGTCTTTAAACATGTGAAACTCAGAGATTTTGTGCTATGATTTGATACATTTCTAGAAATCTGTTAAAACTGGGAAGGAAGAAGTTGATTATTCGACTGATAAATCAATATCTATGCTGTGATTTAAGATAAAGGAACAGATCACTCATCTATTTCATGGGACAGGTTCAGAGTAAAGGGGCGAATAGATCAAAAAGTTTCAGTCCAGCACACTGTCTAACTTGCAAAAATATATATTTAGTTGACGATGTGTTGATGCTCGACCTTAAACAGAAAAATGGTTTGTGATAGAGAAGCCGTTTTAAACCAGGAGAGGCTGTAACTCCGACAAATTCCATTCCCTAGGTACTCTAGGAAGGCATGAATCCTAAAACATCTTTCTACTGAATGACAATTTTCATGAACACGCAGGAAGTTAGAAAACATTCCGTATAGTAACAACCCTCAATGTCCTCCTGAACTTTTTTTTTTACATTAAATGGGTAAAAAAAAAAATCATGTGAATGCTTAAAACCATCCAGAGCCAAACTGTGCTCTACAGGAAGACATTCACATGAAAAAGAGCAGTGATGGACGAACAGAATCATTCTTGAGTTGTTCAACCAACAGAACAATTATTGGCAATGATTTAAACGATTGTTAGTTGTGTAATCAAGCAAAAAGGCAAAATTCTCTGTTCAAGGTTTTAAAACAAAATTTTTCTGTGTTTTTGACTATTCAGGTCTCAACACATTTGAAGTGTCCCTCTGTTGCTTGTTATCTTAAAAATACTTGACAGATTCTTTGATGTTAAAATATTGAAATAATTAAAATAAGGTATCATTATTAAAAAAAACACCTGCAATCTTGTGTCCCTCTGTAGTAACAACAGTGTGGGCAAAATACTGGAAACATCCGTGTTTTGGTTTTTTTGTTGTTGTTTGTTTTCTTTTTAATTTTAAAATGAGAAAACTTACAACATTTATCAGCCAAACTAAAAACAGAAAGAATCGTCAGATTTCATACTACTCATCTGTGATGTGCTATTTTGTCCAAAAACTTGACCAAAACATAAAATTGTTACACAGCCATGACTTGATAATCCAACAATAAATGTAAAACCTTCTTTTATGTCAGATAGCAAGGCTGTCGGATTGTCAAGATGGATGTCAAGATACAAGGAGGGCTTGATGCTTGAAGTTTAATTTGTTGTTAATATTTATTGTTCATAGTTGTTATAATAAGTAGTACGGCTGGTCAGAACAGCATTTTCTGGTCTCTGGATATTCAGGCCCAATTAATGATAAATATCTGAATATTCGGCGCGATCATGGGGACCACTTCCATCCTGGGGGTGCGCTCCAACGGGGTGGAAGTGGCCGGAACGCACAGGCAGTACTTGGCTGCTGATACTAGTTTAGTTCGCGGTGACAGTTCTGTTTCCACCATCGCCACCATCCGTGTTTACTTCCGCAAACACTGAGCGTGCTCGCTGTGTGACGTCGTTGTGTCCTCTTCTGTGCATGCGGGACACTTTAGGGTCGTATGAAGTTGACACAGCAGATCACATACAAGTCGCATTTAATGTCCTGCAGTCTGAACGTAGCCAATCTGTTGGACTGTTAAGTCAAATCATACACCGTTATCCTTATTTGTGACATAAAATCCAAGGCTGTCGGTATGTTAAGGCTATTTTTTATGGGTTCCGTTCGTTTTCCTAAAACTCTGTCAGATAGCAAGGTTTTCGGATTGTTAAGGGTCGGAATGTCAAGTCATGACTGTATTTCATCAGAAACACTTTATTCTGCATGTCTTGTTAAAAAACATAGACTGGTTGCAGTACCCAGATTATGTAAAAAACTGAAAATTATGTTTAAAAAAACCCCCTAAAAAGTCAGGCTGACTCGGCTGAACTGCAGGCTGTGTTAACACGGAGCAGAGGGAAGGCAAGTATAGAAACAAATTCAAAAAGCAACTGGTAGAATATTGGTATTATATAATGTCACTAGTTTTTCCAGCATCGGTTAAACCTGTGAGCAAATATGTTGTACATGTTGATTCCAGGTTTTTTTCTATATTTGCAAAATAAATAGGAGCATCTACTTCATTTTTTTTCTTGTTTTAAAAAAATATTTCTGGCATTGTAACTGTGTCGTAGTGCACAAATGACATTTCAGAGTTCTCTCAGCTTCTAGCCATGGTTGGGCTGTTTCCATAGAGGTGAAAAAAGAACAGCACCCAAATACAAATACAGGAAACCCAGAGTGCTTTCTGTCTTTAGCAGTTTTTGTAATCATAAATAGTTAAAACAATGCTGACTGTATATACAGGCATCAAGGAAAAACACCAGCACCATAACAATTACTAATACATATTTTTAACTCTATGATATATTCACAGGATTTAAACAGAAACGACAACCGTACCATCCATCCTGAAGATGCTGGGACCCCTGACACTCTGACCTCTGGATCCATGACCCCTGAACCTTCTGACCGTGACAGTGACCTCGCCATAAACCAGGTGGACGAGGAGCTCATGTTAAACCTACAACAGCCTGCAGGCCGATTTTCTGACTCGTCCGCTAGAGAAGAGGAGCTGGATGAAGACAGAGATGCTGGTAGCGATGGAGAGATGGAGCAAAGCATGGACAGACAGGAAGAGGACGAGAGCTTGTGGAAGATGGAGACTGATTTGGACAGAGGAAGAACAGAAGATGAGGAAGAGAATGAAACAGATGATGAAGAGGTGAAATACAGATTGTACAGGCTTGTTGCACAGTCCAGACTCACGTACTTCTCGTCTACTGATGATGAGCTGGACAGGGCGGGCCAGAGTGAAGGAGAATGGGACAAAGATGAAGATATGGAAGAGGAGGACGAAAAGGCAGAAAGACTCACTTATAAACTCTGTCAGTTGGAAAGAGAAGTCAGAGCCACACAGTTCTCATCCACAGAGGACGAGCTGGACAGGATTGGCGTCGAAGAGGGGGAACATGCAGAGGATGGGGAGGAGGAGCTGGCTGTGAAAGTGTGCAGATTAGCTAATCAAGTCAATGCTACTCAGTTTTCATCCACAGAGGATGAATTAGACAGAGCAGGCAGAGGCGAAGACGGAGCGGAGGAGATAGACGAAGAGACGCTGTGGAAACTGCAGGCAAAAAAAACAGTCCAGGCAGCTCAACTGCGCGATTTGGCAAGTTTAGTCAGCGCCTCTCAGTTTTCCTCCACTGAGGATGAGTTAGATAGAGTTGGAGAGGATGAGGGAGAAATAGAGCAGGAGGTGGAAGATGGAGGAACTGAGAGCAGAGCTGAGGGAGGAGTGGAGAGGAGAGAGTCCTTCGGAGACATAGATGTGAACATGTTTGATTTGTGGGATGAAATTGAGGAGAGAAAAAAAGAGGGCAGCGAAGAAGAAGTAACAAATGAGAATGTTCTGAGCAGTGAGACAAAGGCTGAGGATGTGGAACATGATGAATGTGAGGTGGTGGAAAGTAAACATGGCACTGAGGTGAATGTAGCAGAGGATGACAAAATAGCAAGGGGGCACTTGTGTGACGAAAAAGTTTTGAAAGGAGACGAAGCTGGAAAAGAAAAAGTGGAAAGAGAAGAGTTAAAAACAGGAGTGGAAGTGGAGAGAATGAACAAGATGAAAGTTTTACATGAAGCAAATGTTCAGCAAGAGAATCAGCCAGAGGCAGCGAGGGCAGATGACGAGGAAGGAGAGGAAAAGTCTCAGAAGAAAAGCAAAGAGAGTGTGGGGGAAAAGGAAACGGCAGCAGACAGCGATGAAGAAGACGCAGAATTTAGCAGAATCATCAGCAGCATGCTGATGATGACTTTGGAGGACATGCAGGTAGAAACAACAAAGGATCAAGCTGGAGAAAACAGAGGGAGACACAGAGAGCTACAGGATGAGATTCATAGGATGGGAAGAGAGAGCGGATTCAGAGAAAAGACCACTGATGCACAAAGTACAGACGCCTCAGAGGAGACGGAAGGTGTTTCAAAGGAGCTTCAGAGTTTTAACAAGAAGTCAGAGTCAGTGGTGCAAAAACGACCAGGGGAGAATGTAAGTGAGGAAACTGGAGGAGATATCTCAGGAAAACTGGAGTCAGACATCCCAGGCAGAAATGAAAATGTGCAGGTAGAAAGACAAACAAGTTTGGTGAAAGAAAAACCTGCAGTCGCGACAATCGAAGACACGTTTGAGACAAACGAGGCTACATGTGAAAGAACTGAAGCGGACGACGAGGACCAACAGGATGGAAGAAGAACAACGGTAACGGAGACACAAGGAGACACCAGAGACTGTGAGGAGAAAGATTTGGATGGAGGAGTTGAGGAAACCAAAGACGACATGGAGCTGAGCAGCACTTCTTCTCCTCAGACGGGTTTACTGACGCCAGAGGAGATTCAAAGTGTAAGCCCTCAGCAGGCAGCTTCACAGGCCTGTTTCTACCACTCACTGACAGTCTGCTGGGGTTACAGCGAGACTGTAGCTTTTGAGAGAAAAATGTAAAGATAAATCTAAAACACATAATTCATCATTTTAGTACGTGTAGGGCTTTCGCTGCTGCAGGGACACTCAAGGTACAATACCCACATAAATACCATTACGATTATCTATCAAAGTCTGACAGTCATATCCCAGTCTGTCTCTTTTAACGTACAGTGGACATACGTGCTTTTAGAGCACTTGATCCTGATCCCGATTAGGCGTGTTCACAACATTTCAGCTCATTGAGTTACTGATTCATTGTTCTTATTAAATTCAGTGTGCCCAGTCAGCTCTGGTAAAGCTCCTCACTCTCACTGTCTGAACAGGACAAAGCTTTGGTCCAGTATCACCAGCAGCTGATGGTATGAAAACACCACTTTATTAGCAACACGTGATACATTTTCATTTTCTTTTACAATGTCAGAAAGTCAATATTTCTGCTTTGTTTCTTAGTGAGGTTATGGTGGACGGTTGTGGTGACGTGGACTGTGTTATATTCACATGCTTGCCGGTGGAAGAAGGATTATCACCTTTCTGATGGTGTCAAAAGTAGAATTTAGAGCAGAGCTGTATGAGGTGTAGTCGACTTGTAAAATGTTCCTAAAAAAGTGCACTGTGAGTGTAGACATCACTGAGTTAGTCTGTAGACTTTATATTAACGCTGTGTTTGAAAATTTACCAATATTGGTACACTGGCAATTACATTAAAAACATTAATGAGCAGTAAAACACAATTAAGTACACTCAGTGTTTAGGTGTTGCTGTGTACCTGAAGTAACAAGTCTGTTTCCAGCTAGTTTGCTAATTATTGACTTTTGAATGCAAAAGTTAATTCTTAATTAATAATGGTTTTGACCAAAAGATCTGAACTCAGGGTCCACTTGAGGAGTCCAGTGGCAAAGTGGGCCAAATCACAAAAAAATCAAAGTTGAGTTTTATTTTTTTATAAGTGCTTATGGTATACTCGTTTGTGGCAATGTGGTCCAACCAGCAGCCTACTCATAATGTCACAATGTGACTTTGAAGTCTGGCCCCTAATGGTTTTGGCATGAAAATTTAGTGACAAACTGGGCCAAGCCACAGGAATCGCTGACCATTATATCGCTGGTGCAGGTTGTTGCAATGTTTGCAAGATAGTGTGACCTCAAGCCCTCAACTCAACTCGTAGGTACGGTAAGGTAAAATTAAAAACTTAATGAACCACCACCAAGCATCTGTTTCTACCCCATGGTACTCAAAAGTATCTCTAATTCGTCATGATATAAACTCCTCATGCTGTTTGGCAAGACAAACCTGGAATCAGTTTTTTTTCTCAAAAAGCAGAAAACGTGGTATGGCCCGCTTTGGCTCTCAGCAAAAGGAAAGGCAAGATTAAAACTTAAATAAGCCATCACAAAGTAGCTATTTCTGTCTCTGGACAGTGTGAAAACATCTTTGGGTGAATATAATGACTCCTCCAACAACCACGATTGTTTATAGCAACATAAAAGTTTGACCCCATTTTTCTCTAAAACTAGTAAATGTGGTTCGGCCCACTTTAGCACCAACCCCCTGACTTACTAGCTTCTATCAGTTGCCTCTCACCGTCTTCATCAGTCTTTTGGATTTTGATGGCAGTTTGTGGGTTATAATTTTGTCAGATTTAAAACTTATGACTCTTATTAACTTTGCTACCTGTTTCTCTCCCTAAAAACGACTTTTCAATGCAACTAACTTGTCACTAACACCTTTATCCGTTGTACGTGCTGTTTTCTTCTCTTCTGTGCTGTGTCGACTATAGGGTAGTGACATGGAGCTTTACAAAACTGTAGAGTTTATATCAACTCTGCTGGAGCAGGTGAGAATCAGCTCATTTTGGTTTAAGAGGGAGACAGAATGAAAAAAAAAATAGATGTTGGTTATAGATTAAGTTGCTGCTGTGCTTCATTTCTCATGGCTTTCATGTTTTTCATGCATGTAATTTATTTTGTAACTTTCTCTTAAATATGCTGTTTTTGTCCATTCAAGTCACTATTTTTGGTCAATTGTAAATGTATCACGTATACGGCGATAAAAATGTACTCTACAGTGTCTCTCCTTCCTGTAAACTGCTGCTAATCCATACAACTAAGTGTCATTCATCTGAGTTTGACCTCAGAGCAGTACCATCGCAGTGTGTTGTCAGAGTCAAGCTGTGGGAGGGGAAGCACCGTTTCATGCATAGTGAGCCTTCAAAAAAACACTGTGGGAATAGAATTGAGTGTACAAAGTTGAATCTAGATCATTTCTGTAACTTAGAAATGGTCAAATTAACAGTTTCCCTTTCTCACACTGAACTGTGTGGAGCTAGAAACCCTGTGTGTCTGTGTGTGCTGCAGAGATACTCGGCCGTGTCTCTGCGCAGCATCACCACCGAGGTGTTGAAGGTACTGAACGCCACTGAGGAGCTGCTGCAGGGAGTGGAGGGAGGAGACAATGGCCGACTGTCCGCCAGCTCACTGCCGCCCAACACTGACCCCAAGAAACTGGACCAGCAGTTCTCCAGACTGGAGGAAAATGTGAGCTCGGTTCAGTTATTTACTGCACACACTGTGCTTCTAACTGAGGCTTGCCACCTGTTTCAGTGTTCAGGAGAGTCAAAGTTGCTTCACAGTAGAACTTTAAGAGTTAAAGCAATATTTATCTTCAATATAAATATATCTGTTTAGTGACTGATTGATGATTCAGGGTGTAAACAGTCATAAATGGTGAAAAAGTCTATCAGTATTCCCTGAAGTTTGCTTCATTTGACCAACACTAAGGAATCTAAAGATGCTGAGCTTACTATAATAGAAAACTATGTCATTAACAAACATTCACATTGAGAAGTGTTACTAGAGTAGTTTAGGTATTGTGGCTCGATAAATGACTGCAACAATTTATGATATATCGCAATTCTTGGGAATTAACTGTCAGCAGTCTAATTAAGCTAATAATTTGAGCTCTAGAGCACTGGGTGGTTGTTGGGTGTCTGTATAAATAATGAAACTAACATGTACATGAGTGTTACTGGGGTCCAACGACACATTTTAGCCTCAGGGCTCCTCAGGGGTTCCAGCTTAACTTCAGCTCTTTAAATTAAAATTAATTCATTATGAAGCTATTAAGTATTAAAGGAGTCATTATTATGCATATTTCCTAGTTCTTATTTTTATTTTATAAATTGAACAGCTCTACTAGCACTGCTCTGTCCTGTACTTTGACCCAAAAGGGCTGTTAAAGCTGCTTTTCAGTGGCTCACAGCACAACTGCTTCTGAAAGTTTTAGGGGGGAAATCGGAGACTAAAGCTTTAAATATCTTAATCATAATTTAGGATAACTGCAATTAATCTGGTTTCTTTAAAGTAAGTGACTGGCGTGTTGAACCGGTGTGCTGCAGGTGTACGTGGCGGCTGGTTCAGTGTTCAGTCTGGAGGCGGAGCTGAGCGACCTGGAGGAATGTGCCAGGGGAATCTGCAGCTCCACGTCCGATATGGAGTTGTCCTTCCTGGAGGAGCAGGTGGCAGCAGCAGCTGCCAAAGTTCAACAGTCTGAGCTGCAGGTGCATTGGAGCTGGATACGCAACAAAGTTTAGATTTGCAAGTGGCATAAAAAGGAAGTTTTGGAAGGGATGCAAGGCATCATGTCATGTTGAAAAAAACCACAAGGTCAAAGTATCAAACTTTGACTTTAGTCTGAATGACTTGCACACAATTGGCTGCACAAACTTCTCCACTAATACCAGTTTAAACTCGTTTGGGAAAGGTTAAAGTGTAACAGTGACATTTGGAAGCACATTAAGGGATTCTGCTTCTTGTTGATTCTAAAACACATTTTACATGTGTGTTTGTGACGTAGATATCTGACATCTCAGCAAGAATTGCTGCTTTGAGGAGTGCCGGCCTCAATGTGGACGCACAGTCACGCTTCACTAAGACCAAAACTCTTCCAGTTATGGTACGCTTCCTGTTTTCATCAGTGCAGTACAGTGTAAGTATCAGGAGAGCATGTCAAATTTACTGATAAAACTAACTAAAAATGTCTGCATTTTATTCATCTTCCTGCAGCCTGTTACCCTGGACTCCTCAAGACAGCTAAGAAGGCGACTACCTGCACCACCAGTGAAAGGTAAGAGACAGTCTGTGTCAGTTCTGCATCTACCATATATAGTGCATTATATCATAACTGTCTTAGTATTGGGTCAGCCGATTACATTTTTCAGGGTTGATAAAGATTATTTAGTAATCAGTAAGACAGAAAACCAATATTTGGAACTGATACATTAGCAGATTGCAACCAATCACCCACAGAGTGACTACAGATATAAAGAGATAGCTGCATCAGTCAAACTCATTTATTTCATAGGAAATTGGCTTAAAAAATGACAATATCAATAATTGGGAACAAGCTGAACATCAGCTCTGACAATCATCCACCTCTACATACATTACTGTTTTAGTGAGTAGAATCTAACATAATTTTCTGTTTTATTGCAAAATATGTTTTGCTAAATAGGAAATTGTGCATGACATTCAGTAGTAGTAGTTAGTATTTCCAGGGATTTACTGATTACTTTTTAGTTTTCAGTGGTGTTTCTGGAGTTGTTTTAACACCATCCAGCTGTGAGCAGATCTTGCATTTTACCGTGTACAATGCATCTTGAGACATTTGAAAGGGAAAGGTTTTTAGTTGATATATTTTCAAAGATTTTTATTTCATGATTTACTTGGTAGTCATCTGGTCAGTGCAAATTACTCAGACAGCACATTAGAACAATGTCGTATCGGGTGTTGGTGTACTGAATCAGTATTTCTGACATTTCATCTTGTCATAGCTGTAAAAGCACAGGAGAGGTAAAAATAGTTAATAATGGCTCAGTTCCAGTAAATATCCCTAGAATGAGCACACATGACTATTAAAGTCTTTTTTTAAACAAGTTTTTCCAGATATGATGAGCCAAAATATCTGCTCTGGAAAGTGTTGATAAGTATGAGTGTGTAAGGTAGTGCTAGTTTGTTCAGTAACTCCTATCACTTTGTTGTTGGATGACAAATTAACCACAGTTTCTCTCCACTTTGTTTTATATTATCTTAGAAGACAAGGAAACCTAAATCACTGAACCAGGATCTTTTGCAGTACCTCCAACACAGCAGTGCCTTGACCCCGTCACTCTGCAGCCTGCAGGCCAGTCTTAAGCAATCCATTCACACACCATTTGCCTTAATATAGTTTTAAACTAAACATGCCTCAAATATCAATATGGGACACTAGTACTGTATGTGTATTCTAAGTTGTATGTCACAGATAATGCAGGAAATGGTTGTTTCTTGTGTCGTCCTGTCAGAAAAATATCATCGATAAAAGTGGTGAAATAAATACATTACACACCAGTGTACAAAAAATCCAATGTTTTAATTAGAATACTTTTTATAGGCTTCATTTTAACACTGTTGTCCATTTTAAAGGGATATTTTGGTTTCTTTGTAGTGGGGTTCAATGAGGTACTTAACCAGCCAGTCATGTCTGGCACCACCTCTTTTTTGAAGCAGCAGAAGACTGCTCTGAACAGGATCAGCAGCAAAACGCATTTTAACTACTGCTGTCAGACAGCCCTTTCCTTTTGTTCTACATTTTATTAACTCTAGAACTTCTGTATTCCTACACTGAAGCACACCCGTTCAATGCATTGTATTTTCTCTGTAAGTGACACGGTGGATCCAGTGTGACTACAGGGCGCGACATGTAGAAATATGGAAGTTCTAACAAGATGTAGTGTCAAAAGAAAAGGGCTGTCTGATGACAACAACTTCCATCCATTCATTATCTATACACCACTTAATCCTCACTAGGGTCGCAGCTGACTGAAGGCAGGGACACCCGGGACAGGTCACCAGTCTACCACAGGGCCACACTTAGAGACAGACAACCAAGCACATTTGTATTCACACCTACGGACAATTTAGAATCACCAATTAACCTCAACTGGTTTTGGACTATGTGGGAGGAAGCCAGAGAACAAAGAAAGAACCCACGCTGCAGGGGGAGAACATGCAAACTCCACGCAGAAAGAACCCAGATGTCCTCACCAGGACACGAACCGGTGACCTTCCAGCTGCGAGACGACAGTGCTAACCACCAAGCCACCTTGCAGCCCATGACAACAAAGCGGTGAAAATATTCCAAATATAGTGTACACTTGAACAGATAAATATACAGCACAGCAATCCTCTGTGCTACAAACTAACTGACTATGATTCATTGTAGGTAGTACACGGCGTATGGACAGTCGTAAGTGCTTCAATAGAAGGTACCTGGACTTCCTTTTTTGTTCTTGAAGACATTTCACTTTTGATCCAAGAAGCATCCGCAGTTCTTCTGACTGGTGGGAAGTTCTTAGTATTTATTAATCACTAACAACTTACATGACTAAAGGTGAGATTAGGGGGATGTCAGGACTGCACTGTATGTGGTTGTTAAGTGGTGTCGTAGGCCGTCTCCCATTTTTACAGACTGTTGTTTTAGCTTCCTTCACTCCTCTCTCAAACCATCTGTCTCTGTCCAGAATGCAAACATTGCTGTTCTCAAAGGAGTGTCCCCTCTCATTTAGATGCAGACAAACTGCTGAGTCTTTTCCTGAGGAACTGGCTTTCCTGTGTTGTGCCATGTGCTTTCAGAGCTGTTGTTTAGTCTCACTCTAACACATAGTTCTGTGCTCACTGCTTTGGACTGTATATACAACATTGCTTAGCTTATGTTTGGGTGTTTTACCCTAGGGGTGAACCCGTTTTTGTCTGAGAGTATTCCTGTGTTTGGAGTGCACCAAGGTGTTTTTTAGAGAAAATCCTTCTGAAGTTTCTAAGACATTCCAGCTACATATGGAGCGAAAATGTTGTGTCTGTTTTTGTTTTCTTCTCGGTTTGATGTTTTTTTTTTTCTTAATCTCTGATTTCATGAAGACCCACTGGATGTAGCCTCAGGTTGGCTCCTTCTCTTCTCCCTCTGTTGTGGTAGGGACATTCTCAGTCCAGCGGTGTTAAGGTCTGATAACACCCAGCTTGTGCTCCAGTGTGTTGTGGGAGTCAAACAGCAGCTTTTGGTCTATGTGTGTAGGTTCTAGTAAACGTCAACGCTGAGGTTCCACATTAAAACCTGTAGCTCTCCAAAGTAGGTCTTTGTTAAGTCAGCTAAGAGACCTGAAAAAAACACCAAATGGAAAACAAAAGAGCAGGTAGACTGCTGGTGTGTCTGAGAAACTTTCAGAAGAACTTTCCGCCCCAAACAGCATCTCAGTGCACTTCAGACCCAGCAACACCCCTGGACAGCTGGTTATAACTTGAGAATAAAACCCCTAAATTTAAGCTGAGCAACACTGTATATGTGGTCCAGTGCAGTGAGTAGTCTATAGGCCCATATAAAGCAGGAGACTAAACACCAGCTCTAAAAGCACATATGGCACAACACAGGAGAGCAAGTTCCTCAGGACAAGACTCAACAGTCTACTTGCATCTGAAGGCTCAGGGACACACCTTTGAGGACAACAATGTTTGCATTCTGAACAGAGACAGATGGTTTGAGAGAAGAAGGCATCTCTGTTAAACTAGAACAACCTTCGTTAAACAGGAGAGGTGGTGGTCTGTTTCACCACTGTTCACACCATGAGTCATGTGAGTTGCATGGTGTGAATTAGTCTCTAATTAGTGCACAGAAAAACCAGGCTCAGAGAACAGTGTCCACAAACAGAAGAGCATACTGGTGAAGGAGCATTTCTGATCCACGTGCATAAGTGTGGTCCCATGAACATGAGCCTGTCACAAACACATTGCTCAACGTCTGCTCATTAGCTCGTCTTCTGAGACTTTGGAGAAGGAGACAGAAGCTGATGACGCTGTTCTTTTCTTTGGCCATATAAGCTGTGCTGATTGGTTATTGCAGCAACTGATTAACTGAATGCTGTCAAACTCTGACAGCTTTTTATTTATTTATTTATTTNTTTGCACTTCTGGTTCAGACTACATTACATTGTGTTGGTACTTGTACTGTGCAATGACGATAAAGGACCCAGCAGCGGTGGGTCCTCAGGGTAGCTGACCTGTTTGATAATCCATTCTTGCGACAGTGAATTTCCACAAGTTTGTCAGTGCACATTATCCAGTTCAAGGGCCTTTGGGGGGTCTCTGTAATCCTCATAGGCTCATATTTGTTCTCAGCTGACCTGCATCTAATGCTTCGTGGAGAGATGAAATGTTAAATGATCTTGGTTGTAATCTTTTGGCTCAGGTTCCCAGTTGGACATGAAACAGCTGTGTTGCTCTGTTCTCTGCTCTGCATCCTGCTCTGTTCCCTAACAGGATGAGCGACCGCAGACACGAAATAAGCGTTGCACAGTGACCTGGTGGTCGTGCCCCCATCTGCAGATCTGAAAATCATCCTTCCCTTAATTACAAAAAGAATGAATCCTGTTTTTGCTTGATTTCAATGATCGTTCGGGTAATAACACAATGAGTGATTGTTGTGTTTGTGTTTAGAGCACAGCATGGCAGAAACGCTCACTGTGGCCATGCGGGTGGCAGAGGAGGCCATAGACGAGGCCATTTCCAAGGCTGAGTTCGACACTTCCAGTCAGGTTATTTGTATTTTCCATGTCCTATAAGAAGTCTGTAAATAGAAGCATTTGTTTCGTGTATCGTTAGAATCCTCGTCTAGCCGTACAGTATTATATTATAGATGCTGCATCATGTTGCTGTTTATATTCTGTAATCTATGCACATACATGTCCTCTACCGCCTTTTCATCAAGTTTCTCCTTAATCTCACTTCTCTGCTTTTTCTCTCTGAGTCACAGTTTGAATCAGATTATGTTAAACCATCAGGATTATGCTGCAGCTCAGATGACAGTCTAATACTACAGTATAAGCAAGTACAGGTCTATTGTTAGGCCAACAAAGAGGCAAAATAACATGTAACTCTGCCCAGTTTGAAAATAAACTAGTCATTTTAATGTCACAATTTAAGATTACTGCTCCCAAAAACCTCCAAAATAAAAACTTTTTGAAGGCTAATGAGATAAATACAGCCATGAAGTGCTTCCTAGCTGTTCCTGTATTTTATACTCCACACAATGTGCACAAAGCTTTTGGTAAATCAACCTAAAAACACATGTCTCATCCCTCATTAGGCTTAGTTTGACTATTGACACCAGAAAACTTATCATGAAATCATTTGGTCATATTGAAAATGACCATGGTTGAAGAATTTCTATTTTATTTCGTCACCTGAACTGTCTGTAAGTTAAATCCTAAAGCATATTTCTGGTTCTGTAGCCTTTTTTCTAAAACACCACTGTACGTTAGAAAAAGATTTACTTCCCACTAATCTGTTAAAGTATCCCAAAGCTTTTGAACTGAGTACAGCAAATATGTATGTTTAGAGGGTATATTTAGAGTAGTAATCAGCTTACAGTGTGTGTGTGTGTTTGTGTGTGTTTGTGTGCATGGCGTTGAACAGTTTTCTTATTTGTGTCTGTTTACTAGGAGAAGCAGAATGAGGCACACTATCTGCGGGAGCACAGAGGAGAGCTCATTGAGGAACTGGCCAAAACTATTGTGCAAAAAGTAAAGAAGTATCTTTGTTTGTCATTTGAATGGATGCTCTGTGGTGTGTAATTAGGTTTATTCTGTGTCATCAGAAGAGGGTTTCAACAACCCTCTGAACCCCAAAACCAGATTTTTAGAAAAGGAGAAAAAAAAAAATAGCCAAAATGACACCATTTATCAGTTCTGAAACTATAAAAACAGAATTTCAGTTCAGGCCTGCTCAACTGTGATGTACCTTTCTATCAGAAATCTTAACCAAAGCTAAGCTTCATCATTATATTTATTCAAAAGCACTTTATTTTACAGGCATCGTTTAAAAACTTGACAAAAATATGTTGTTTACACGAACCAGATTCTGTTAAAAAAATGAAAAAAATAAAAATTCTGTGCCCCTTGAGTTATTACTACTGCGACCAACAACCACATGACAAAAATTCAGGGACTTTCCAGCTGAAGTGCAGGCAGTGTTTACACAGAGAAGAGAGGAGACAAGAGTGGAAACACATTAAATATGTAGGCAGTAAAATAACTATAGTGTGCGGACCCACCGTTGTTTCCAGCATTGTACAACTACAGTAACATGTGTGGGCACTTAGAGAATCCTGTTCCAGGTTTTTTTTCTTTGGTAAAACAAATAATCAAAGCATAGTAACTTTTGTCTGTTTATTGATTTACAGCATTATAACTGCGTAATGAACAGAAAACATGTAACCACGGCTCAACAGAGGTTCAGGTTTTTATGTTACAGTGAAAAATCCACTCACAGTGACAGGAGCAAAAAAAAAAAACTGCCGAGACCTGCTTGGGTTCAGAAGGTTAAATTCATATCTCCTGCACATGATAACACACAGTCAATTATTTGTTCTTCATAGTTAAAACCAGCTGATTTTTCTGTCCTGGGATGGGAGCCATGTGCAGCGCTAATCCTGCTCTCTGTGTATGCAAGATTATTAGCAGGAGGAAGACTTTGGCTGAGATGAGAGCAGAATATGACCAGGACTTGACCCTTGAACGCAACGCTGACCTTCATCACCATCATCAGCCTGCCTGTGATCAGACCTCCAGCTCCCTGAAACACCAACCGAGCCTCTGGGTAAAAACACAACCAAAGCTTTCCACTACAATAAACACACAGCTGCAGAGAAGTGGTGGAAGTAGCTCTGTACTGTAACCTCCAGTAAAGGATTTCTATTTGTTGTCAAAGATGAGAGCAGTTGTTCACAACTTTTTGGGTTAAACCCTCTT